GAGGAGGAGGAGGAGGAGGAGGAGGAGGTATCAGCTTTAGTTCTTAAATATGAGAAAGTGGTGTGAAGGATAAGAACGTCTATGAGGCGTAAGAGAAGTGATGGGTTTTTTCTTTCAGTCTTTTTAAACAATTGTCATTGCAGAGAGACAAGTTTCAAGTTGTTGTTTCTTTTATAACCTGCAAATCAAGACACTTTCAAAGGAAAACAAACCCTCCGTTTTTTAAAGGAAAAATATATTACAAATAAAGTAATAGTTCTATTTATTCTTTATAAGATATTAAAGCAGGCTACTTGGAAAAGTTCGTTTTAAATATTTTCTCTAATTTGTTGGGGGGGGGGGGGTTGTTTGTTTTGTTTGTTTATTTGTTTGTTTGTTAGTTTTTTAACTTTTGTTTTTGGGTCCCCAGGAGAACATGGTGTGTGACGACACTGTACTCCGCTCTCACGCTAACATGATCTACATGGCCGGACTGCTCGTAGGCTCCATCACCTTTGGATTTATCTCAGACAAGTACTGTCTGCTAGTTTTGTCTTTTTGATTAACTGTTTGCTCACATCAACATGATCTATAAGTGAGGCATCGTGGTGAAATCAGGCGCTTGTCAAAATAATGAAATAGAAGAGCCCAACATTTTTTTAAGGCCTGTCAGGCAATTTTTATCGATTTTCATTTTACTTTCTTAACACCTTTTATTTGTCTCCATTTAAAAACACATCTGGGTGCGGATTTTACTTTTCTTTTTAAATTTGTAAGAGGTACAAAAAGTGTAAATGTGTAGTTTCCAGGACACTACAGTTTGAAAGTCATTAAAATTTGACAGCCTTTCTCTTGCTAATTTTACCTTTGACATCATGCGCCTTCTCCCTCCTCCAATCGCAAATATCTCAACTTCTTTTCAAGATGTTGTTGTTGTTGTTTTCAAATCCCTTTATCTGCGAGCATTTCGCTCCTGGCAGTGCAATGCCTCCCTCAAGTAACCACATGACTTTTCAAGATAGATGGATACGTATTTTTTTTTTTTTTAAATCGAAGGTGAAACAAAAGAACAAGCTTTAAGATTATAACAATAATTCCATATGCCCCGAAATTGACAAGCGCCTGATTCCATCGCGCTTCCACGCAATAGTTGGACTGTGCGTAGGCTGCATGACTATTCTCCAATTTTGTTGTTGTTGTTGTCGTTGTTGTTGTTGTTGTTATTGTCGTTGTTGTTGTTGTTGTTGTTGCTGTTACTGTTGTTGTTGTTGCTGTTGTTGTTAATTTCGTATGGTGTCTATGGTGTTTGACGACACAGTGCTCCGCTCCCACGCCATGTTTTATCTATTTGATTGACTCATTACCGTGTGGATTTTACTACAATTGAATAAAAGGCACAAAAAGGGTAAATTTTCAGTTTCAAAGGACACTACGGCGTTGGAAGTCTCAAAGATTTGACGGCTATTTTCTAGCTAATTTTACCTTTTCTATCTCTCTTTTTTTATCGCAAATGTCTCGACTTCTATTCAAGATAGGTGGATAATTTCTTAAGCAAAGGCAAAATGAATTATGAACAAGCTTTTTGATTTTACCAATAATTCCACATGTCCAAAAACTGACAAGCATCTGATTTCATCGCGTCGGGACACAATGACCGGACTGTTCATAATATGCTGCATGACTATGCTTCCATAGTTGTTGTTTTAAAGACCAAACACAGCCAAACACACACTTGCACACTTACAAACGTACCCACACACTCACACATACACTCACTCACATACATACATACATACATACATACATACATGCATACATGCATACATACATACATACATACATACA